AAAGTTAACAGATAATAATTGAGTTAGCGGGTTAAACAAAAAGTTAGAGATAAACCAAACAAATTGTAAGGTCCAATAAATATTTTAATATGTTCCGGTAACATATAACTATCCATAAGATTATAGATATCTATAAGAATATGAAAGTTAACACACAATAATTGAGTTTCCATGTCGTCTAATCACAACAAAAGTGATATCAAGTTAAATAACAATCTATAACTTTATGTAACATACTAAAGTATGTAGTACATCATATAAATATATAAACTCTGGTTAATATTTTATTTAACTTGATAGTTTATTTGTTATCCAATAATTTTCGAATTATCGTGTTGATGTGCGCAAAATTATCTTAGATCTGATGACATATTCAACATTCTTATTATTGTTTGACAAAACTCCATTTTTGTTCTGCCATGGCATAAATTGAGGTACATACCTAACCAAATTATGACAATTTTGGCAAAATTTTGGTAGATATCCAACAAAAACTTGTTCAGCGAGTTAATTCTGGCCATAGATTATCGACACTCCTCTTGATTTTCCGGTGAGATCTCTCGGCTTCCAGCCATCGATGAGGTATGACGATGACTCATCATCTTCTTTAATCAAATCTGTCAATGGTAACCTCATATTAGAAATCAAGTCCATATCTAATTGTTTCAACCACTGATGTTGTTGTCTACCTGTTAGAAGATTTCAAGAGAGCTTTCGGAGCTGTCGCAGAAATGGTGGAAGAATTCTGACAAGAAGACGATGGTGCATCGTTGTTGTGATTTACGACACGACAAAACGAAGTTAGATCCATTAATTACAGAAAGCGGAGGAGAGTTTATCTATATGCAGAGCGATTATCTTTGATGATGAAAGAACATCACAGTTCGAGAAAAAAAATTTGGTTGAGATTGAAAATAAGAACGAAAGAGTGAGGAGAAAGAGTATGCGACTCAGAAAATATATTTTAAATATTTGTCAGATGATATATAGAATACAAGTTATCTCACATTTCGTTGAGGATATAATTTGCAGAGATTTTTTGAACATTCCATATACATTTAACAATGTATATATTTTTAATATCGATTTATAGTGGGTTTATACGTTGCAAATTCTTTTTTTTTTTTTGTTATTCAACAAATTTATCCTTTATTTTTAAGTGTACAAAAAGGAAAATTTAACGCTCACAACAACTGCAAAAGGGCAACAAAAACTGAAAATTCTGACATACTAATTAATAACAGACGAACATATTTCTCTGTTGCATTTTATGCGGAAAGAAGAGACATCTGTCACGTACTAATCAAACGCAATTGATCATATAAAATCAAAGGGCCGGGGCGTGAATGTTTTCTATATACAAAGATATATATTTAATTTGCATAAATTTCTCCTGTATTTTAGTTTTATCTTACTTCCTGTCTTCAAATATATAGTTTCTTCAAATTATAACGCAATGAGATTTTTTGGGTCAACTAATGAGAATTCATCTAGTGTAAGATTCTTTCCTTAAATTCAATCATTTTAGTTTAACTGTATAACCAAACAAAAATTTAAGTAGCCATGCATGAATGATATATAATGTAATATGTTATCTTCGACGTGCTCAATCACAAATTTCTGAGCTGTACATCTAAATGAATGATTGGTGTGGCGATAAGGCAAAGCTTGTGGGACACATCAAAACCCAAAGAAGACATAAGACATGGGCCACATAAACTTTATATTTATCGATTCAAATTGTTTTGAAATGATGAGGTGGCTACTTTTTGGCCCAATTAATTGTCATATTTTTTTTTTTTGGTCGAAACTGCGGTTTTTCATCAGAATTAAAGTTAACCGGGTGTCAAACCGGGTTCGTTTGTTACAACGCGTAGAACTGATTTCGCTAATCGATCAGCTTCCATATTTTTTGCTCTTTTGACAAAACCAAAAGACACAATTTGTACATCTCTAGAGAAAATTTTCAGATCTTGCAATATTTCATAGATCTCTAGGTTTTGATTGTTGTTGTTGATCAAAATGATGAGGGTTTGTGAGTCTGAGAAGACCCTGAAACCCTTAAGATTTAATCTTGTCGCGTGGAGGAGGGCTTCTCTCATAGCCACAGCCTCGGCTATTAGAGGCGATTTGATGTGGTTCATAGCTCGGGCTCCTTTGTGTACGATCCGATCGTTGTGGTCACGGAAAATCCAGCCGGCGCGATTGAGGAGTCTGTTGTCCATGACGCATCTGTGTAGCAGTGGAGAAGCTTTTCTGTCCGTTCGCCTGCTTCGTTTGGTTCGATGTGGTTCTCATTTGGATCGATTGCTTGGGCTAGTAACCATTCCCTCGCATCCTCGAAGAGTTTATTGATTGTATCTTCAGGTGTGAGGCTTCGATTTGTGAAGACTTTCTGGTTTCGTGCTAGCCACATATTCCAATAAATCCAAGGGGAGATTGGTCCCGATGCGATCCTAGTGGGTGGTAAACAGATGGTTTTCTTCGATTCTATTATTCCACATGCCATATTAGGCCAAGTCTGAGGATCAATTGGCGTTTTCAGAGGAGCTAACTTCCAGACCTCTTGGGCGAAGTTGCAATGGTGGAACAAATGTGTTGTTGTCTCTGGTTCTCCGCATCTTATGCATCAGGATTGGTCTAAGATTCCTCTTGTAGCTAGCTGAGCGCCCACCGGTAAGGCTCCATTCAAAGTTTTCCACAAGAAAGTTTTGAGCTTTGGTGGGGCATTGATCGCCCATATCTCTTTGTGCCAGTTGAAATCAGGGATTGGGTTTATGTTTTGTGTGGCAGGGTCCTCTCTCGCGCTTTGGTAGCCTGATTTTGCATGGTAGATTCCTGAGGAGTGATCAAACCATACAAACCTGTCCTCTGCTCCTAATATGCTAGGTTCCAAAGCCAGGATGTTATTTTCCCATTCAGGTATTAAGTTTCTGATCTTCTCCAAGTTCCATTCCTTAGAACCCGGTATGATCAGCTCTAACACTTTCATTGTTTCTTGTTCTCTTGTAGGCGGGCCATATGGTTGGAGAGGTTCTGAG